GGAAAAAGTCAAGCATTTATCCTGCCTTTGCTATACAAAGTATATCTCAGGTAACTAAGCTAGTGAGGGAAACTTTGTCATTATAGAAGTAGTTTAACTAATAAATAATGAATGATAGATTAGAACATCACCATTTTGCAACTTCTAATGAATTAATGGGCCTGGGCAATAATCATCAATGGCTGCTAAGATGACAAGAAAGAGTGATAACCAGACATCATGTGCTTCCTGAACACCTATGAAGTATTCTTGCCACAAAATCAAACTTGAATTTGATCAAGCCCCAACGTCTACCTACCAGTTTATTAAAAATACAGGGAGGAACACACTAAAGACACTACAGACATACAATTAGACACACAAACACACACACAAATCTAGAATGCAAAACACTACTGAATAAACAACTGGTTTCTTCAACAAAAAATTACCAGGACAAAAGAGAGGGAAAAATGAGAATCTATATAGATTCAAAAAGTCTTAAGAGACGCTAACCATGTTAATGTGCAAACCTTATTTGGATTATGATGCAAACAAACTATAAAAAGTATAAACTTGGGAAATGTAAACATTAATTGCTTATTTAATGATATTAAGAAATTATTAACAATTTTATTTGTGATAATAGAATTATGGGTTTTTTTAACTCCTTCCTTTTTTTAATTAAACTTTTCATTTTGACATAATTGTAGATTCGCATTTAGTTGTAAGAAATGATACAAAGAGATACCTCATATCCTTTACTCAGTTTCCCCAATGATAACATTTTGAAAAATAGTACTGTATTACAACTACGATACTGATACAGATTCAGTGAAGATACAGAATATTTTCATTGCTACAGGTTCCCTCATGTTGCCTTTTATAACCATACCCATTTCCTTCCCACTTCTAGCACTGGGCAACCACAAATCTGTTCTTTAATCTATAATTTTGTCATTTCAAAATTGTTTTAGAAAAGGAATCATACACCATGACACCTTCTGGAATTGTCTTTTTGCACTCAGCATAATTCTCTGGAAATTCATCCAGGTTATTAAGTTTATCAATAGCTGGTTCCTTTTTATGGCTGAGTACTATTCCATGGTAAGAGTGCACCGCTGTCTGCTTAACCATCCACCCACTGAAGGACATCTGGGTTGTTTCAATTTGGGGCTATTATTAACAAAACTGCTCTAAAATTCATACAGAGCCCTTACCTTTCAAAGATACTTATTTAAATATTCATGGATTAGATAAAATGATATCTAGGATTTGTTTCAAAAAGTTCCAGACTGGGTGAGATACCAAAAAATAAGGTTGCCATGAGTTAATAAGTGTGTTATACTATTACCTCTACTTCTGTTTGTGTTTAAAATTTTTCATAATACAAAGTCTTAAAAAAGAAGTATGAAAAAATCACTTATCTGGCCATTCCACACCCACGAACACGTACATCTTCAAGTAAAATTGAAGGTATGCTTTTTTATAGTTTAGGCTATGCTAAGATCACAGGAATTCTTGGCCTGAAAGGGGCCACACCTTCCAGTGATCATTATTGTAACATTCACTATACCAATTTTGGCAGATCCAACCTAGGCATCTGTTAACTTTCTTTCAGAAGTTCTTTATTAGGCTACAGGGTTGAGATAAAGGTAGTCCGTAATGTTGGATAAAAGCAGGTAAGTAATCACCATAATCAAATGTATGAGATTCATGAGTGGCTTGTCTTGAAAAGAGAGGGTTCACGTCTGACATGAACAGGTCCTTATCATCAAGACAAATGCTGAGAGAACAGAAGTGTGATTACTAAATATGAAGAGCAAGAAACTATATGAGCACAATCAGGCCTGAAAATGAAGTGAAATGCACTTTATATTATGCAAAGGCTGCTTTTGTTTTTAAGCCACTCTGAAGGACAGCATATTATTATCATGTTCAGACTGCAAGCTAATGATTCCTTAGTACAATTCTGCACAACAGTGTCTACTATTCGACGCCACCAACATTCCATCAGTTCATTCTTTCCTAGTGCTATATCGTATTCTCCCCCCTCCATCCCACTGAGGACACGTTGTTTTTTCTCTGTATAAGGTCTTACAAAAATGAAGACCCACTCTCCCAAAGATCTCAAACAAAGAAGAGGACATAAATACCAACCTATTAACGAATCTGGGATTAAAAGCCAAGACTTCAAAAGGAAATATCCATGATGACTTTCAAATGTCCAGTAGTGCAATGGCTACAAATGAGTTTTCCCTTGCTTGGTCTTTAATGCCTAGACATGCTCTGTGATGAGCAATTCTAAATTCTAAAGCTTAAATAAAGATTGTTATTAAAAGTGGGATACCTGTTTACAGATCAAATCCCAATAAGACAAATGCCAAAGGATCATCTAAATTTTACAGTTGTGTGTACTTCGGTTATATCAAAATCCCTCCTATTAAGTGAGCCCCGGTCTTCGTGTTAAAATTGTAATGCTTATTGTGATAGGATTTGATCTGTACTACCATACTATGATAGGTAGGAGAAAGATGGTGCCTAATAGGCTGTCTGCGTGATACTCAAATGCCTATAAATTGAAAGACAGTCAGTTCTATTAAAAATAATCAATGTACAGATTGGTTCATTTGGTTGGTTTAACAACTTAGGAGTTCTATCAATGCAAAGAAATCTATTGGCAATACCATATTAGGAAACTAAGAAAATTCGGCTGAATTCAAAATCTTGTTCCTATGTCATGAGTCAGAACAGAAACATGTGGAATTAAAACACCAAATGACACAGACCACCAAAAATTGTGCTATACAGGCTTGCATTGAGGAGATTAATGATAGGGCTGGACAGAAAAGGAAAAGGATTCAGAATTGGGCTCCAGTGCATAATGGAAAATGTAATTGAGAAGGAGCTGAGAAAAAGGCGTAAAGTTAAATAGACATATATTTTTGGATACTGTCTTCCTCTATGTTTTGCCATCTTCCTTGACTCTTACAACCAAATCTGGGTCCTGTGGATTTTGCCTCTACAGTATAAATTTTTGGACAGCTTGTGGTCACATATAAGACAGTAGAAGTTGAAGCTCTTCCCGTTTACCTTGACATACTTAAAGGTTAATCTAAAATAGATTGCATAAAATAAAATGTTCTTGCCAAAAATCTTTGGAGCTGATTTTCTTATATATCACATTACCCTTCTTTATAGCTACCACCTATGCCTGGTCTACAGAACTTGAATTTCACAGGGGGTCATTTTTGTGAGCTGAGATGATTTCAGAGAAAGGAGCACATAAGAGAACAGATAGGAAATACGCAGACAGAACAAAGAGGGAAGGCATTAAACCTGAAAAAATTCCAAGAATAAACTTCACAGGATGGGTCCAGAGAAGTGAATAGCCATGTTTGGCAAGAGCTGTGTAGAGTGGAGGAGAAGAAGATAAAGGGAAAGTTGGAGCCAGGAAGTAGCAGCCACTGACGCCCAGGCAAGGCATTCAGACCACATCCCCTAGGCCCTTGGAGAGTTTCTGCAGGTCTGAGCATGGGTAAGTACTTAAAGCAGTGGTTAAGAAGGTGTGACAAGGAGCAGGGAGGATCGGAGCAGAAGACTGGCAATACAAGGCTGTACTAATTGCTTCAGGAGAGGTCACAGCGTTTGATCTAGAAGAGTAACAGTGGGAAGAGAAAGGAAAAGACTAATTTGAAGGGCAGTGTGCAAGGTACACATACTCAAAGCTAGTTTTGTCCTCAATTAAAACCTAGAAAATGGTCACTTGCAGTCATTGTCAGAGAATTGCTTATGAGATGCTAAGGACTCTTATGTTGATTGGGAGGTAAACTGTCATTATGATCAAACACATGAGAAGGCATAAAAATGCTAATGGCTGATAAAGTCATTTTTAAAGGAAGTTTTCATTAAGCTTATTTGGAAAAATAAGATTTTTAATATAAGTAAAAATTATTTTTAAGGAAATCATGATTGGTTGCAAGGTGATGAGTATTTTTAAATTTCTAAAATAATTAACGGCTGATTTTAGCAAGGCAGTAATGATGACTTATATGATTGACAGATCTATTTTCTCTATTTTTACAAATCTACTTTTTCTATCTGCTTTTGCAGATCTATTTTTCCCACTTTTGCAAATCACTATTGCAAACCTAGTATTAATCAAAAGTTCTTTTGCAAATGCACCTATGAGTAAAACTGGGAAACATTATAGATGACATAAGCTAAATCATCTATTTCTTAGTATATCTGCCAACTTAGTTTCTATTTTCCTTTACTTAATACATTTTTATTGAGCACCTATTATAAGTGCTATGCTCTTGTGGGATATATAATGAAGAGTGAAACAGACACAGTTTTCCCACATGGGGCAAACAGTAGAGATGGTCCCAGATGTAAGATGATTCAATTGACAAATTTTCAACTTTATGATGGTGCAAAAGTGATATACCTGCTTTAGTGGAAACCATACTTCAAGTGTCCATATAACCACTCTGTTTTTCACTTTTAGTAGAGTATTCAATAAATTACATGAGCTATTCAATACTTTAATACAAAATCGGCTTAGTGTTAGATGACTTTGCCCAACTGTAGGCTAATGTAAGCATTCTGAGCATGTTTAAGGTAAGCTAGCCTAAGCTATGATATTTGTCAGGTTAGGTGTATTAAATACATTTTCGACTTAACAATATTTCCAACTTACAGGATGTAACCCCATTGTAAGTCAAGGAGCATGTATATAGTGGAAAAGACAGACATTAATTTTAAAAAATTATCCAAATATGTAATTTTAAATTATGGTAAGCACTATCAAGGAAAATTATAGGCTACTATGAGAGCTTATAATAGGGAGGCTAAACCAAGACTGAGCCTGGGAAGATGTTTTTAAGGAAACTGTCTTGAGCTGAAATCTGTAAGGATGTAGAGGAGTTACACAGGAAAAGAGTGAGGGAGAGGGAACTAGATGAAAACATGAGCAGAGAGAAAGAATTGCATATAATAAAATGACAGTACACTCTAACCTGCTGGGTGATAGTGTCCCATGGTCCCTGTAGCAGCCGCGTCTTATAGCACTCATGGACTCCTTCCCATATGTCCATCAGAGTTAGAGGTCTCCCATCTGTGAAAGTGCATGGTAAAGACGGAGTTAGTAATCCATATGACACAATGGGGCTTGGTGTCCTAAAGAATATTATGACTTTTTAAAAAAATCTTTACTAGTGCACAAGCTATTTATATATCTAGGGAGTGCTATGTGAATTACTATTTTCTTCCTGAGGAAAATTTAAACATTCAAGCTTCTCTCCTTTGTATCCATCTAGCATTTAAATTATCTGCTCATTCATTGCTTCTAGGAATTTTACAAAATAAATAAAATCCAAATGTGTTTTAGAGAGAACTGACAGATACAAGCACAGGCAAAGGGCCAGGCAAATAGACTCCCACATTCACAAGGGTGCAGTAGGGACACCTCTGAAGTCTTAATACTTCCTTGAGTCCTTAAAACAAAGAGTCCATACTCATGCTTCTTTCACTTTCTCATTGATTACCTGTAAGGTCCAAATCATTCTGCTGGGTACCATGGAAAATAGAAGGAAAACACACAATTTCTCCTAGTAAGGAGCCTATCATCCACTGGGGAAACTATGACAAGTATATTGATAACTAAAATACTATCTAGGTAGAGAGTGGTCTCTACCCAAAGAAAACTGCAGTTTGCTGACAGTCCAAAGGAGATATTGGCACCCAGTGTTAATGGGCATGTCGGGGGTGAAGGGACTTGAAGGGGTTGGTATGAAGAGATTAGTAAGAGTTTTGGTGAACAATAGTTCTTCTTTTATTTGTTTAAGTGGTTTTGATTATCTATCTCTATTCTGTAACCACCCAAATAATGTATTTTATGAAGACCACCATGGCACTTACAGTACACACAAGATAAGTGAAAAAATAGGTATTTAAGTTCTGAAAAGAAAGCAGAGAGAGAGTGCATTACCTAAAGATTTCAAACCACACACTGCTGGAAAGAAAGAGTCTTAATGCTAGAATGTAGCACTGCTTGGCCCACTCAGAGCTATCAAGTCCTCCAGCCTTAAGGGGGTGCTCTTTTTCTTAGGCAAATGGATGGTATCATTCAAAGAAAACACATCAGTATACTAAATCTTTAGATCCAAAGAAGTATTTGGTCATCAAGTGCAACAAAATAATCTATTCAAGAACTCCAAAAAACCAAAAAGCATTTTATTCAGATACATAGAGTATAAGTAAAAACATAGGGTGTTGGAGAAAGAGCACTAGATTATTATTGTTCAGCAAATATTTAAAAAGCACTTGCAATGCCTCTGTCCAGGCTAAGTTTAAATCCTGGTGTTGGTACTTACTCTCTGTGTGACTGCAAGTTATTTTGCATTTAACTTTACCAGAAAAATGAGGATAATAATCCTTTTCACACTTTGTTCTTGTGAAGCTCACATTAGTGAACACATCCATGACTGCGTTAGGCATACAATAAGAGCACGATGATTATTAAGTATCTTCTCCCAGTCCCCACTTCACTATTTCAATAGTTCTCAAAGCTAAAAGATTCGTTTCTACATTGTCATTTCTTAGAATTTTGCCATGTTTCTATATCATGCACATTGTCTTTGATATAGTAATATACAAACACCATATGCACGGCGTTTCTCATGTTTGATCTGAAAAGTTGAACTTTTCCTCAACCTTTATTTTCAATAAATAGCAATAGAATATTTTGATACATTTTCAATAAGTATCTTCATCTTGGCATTTATCTGGTGGCAGGAGACCATTATCTTGTGATAAATAGTTTTATTCCATTGACATTTCGATGTCTGTAAAATGAACAAGATTTATTCATCCAATTAACATTTGAATGTCATGTTTAGCTACAAGTTAAAAACAAGCTGCCTTCAGTACGTGTGTTATATTGTTTTCTGAACACATTTACAGACTAGGGCCAAACTCTGTTCTTAAGAGAAGCACTACACATCTTCAAAATATGCACGTGTATGTGTCTGTGTGTGTGTGTGTATACTGACGTTGGAAGAGGCAAAAAAGACCTTATATACGTCAGTGTCAAACAGTAAACTAAATAATCAAATTATGAAAAGATGACATGCTTTTAAAATAATTTCTACATATCACAGTTAGAAGAAATCAAATGCCTGTATTAGGACAACAAAATGTTAGAGCTGGTATAACTGCTAATTTTACAAATAAGGCAAACAAGGTCTTGGGAAACATGTATCTGCCCAAATATTGGAGCCAGTTCACCTCTGAACTGAAGTCAGAATCGAAATCTCAGGACTCACCAGTGCTCTTCCTGCTATTCCATGCTGCCTCTGAGGGCAGAGGCATTGCAGATGCTTTATAAATATTTACTGAATAATGATAAATGAAAGAATGCCTTCCTAAACTTTATTTCCTCTAAGACAGAGAAAGCTTTGCAGACGTAGAGAAGAATGCTGGGTTTAATATCTGGTAATCAGTAATGATTTTAATTTTATTCCTTAAGATATTTCAGTCAACAATCTAAATATGGAGTAAATGGTTTGGATATTACCACTGTCAAAAAACTGCATACTCTGCTGGAAACATTCATACAAAATGCAGTAATAAGCAGCCTAGCAACAATGTGGAGACTCAGAACAAATGTTATAGAATTTTCATCAGATTTGGTACTAAAATTGAGAGTATGTGCAGTAAGTTTTCAGACAACACCAAATCTAGCGAAAAAACTGAACACCTTAGAATACAGGAATTAAAAAATGATCTGGTTAACCTAAAATAACAATCATAAGGAGTTAAAAATAAGTTCCAAACATAAAAATCGACTGTACTTCTACTTATGTCATGAAAATACATATTTTTTAAATGATGAAGAATTTCTATGGTCTTCCCTTTTCTAGTTTTTTTTAAAAGACAGTAAGACTTTAGCAGTATTTAGGCTCTTTATACATCATTTAATAAAAACAGAGCAGTTAGTAGAAATGCATCTCTATGTGTCCCTTGATTTTAACTTGATTATAAACATTATAGTGATAAAAATATTTTTAATAATAAAAAAATACAGAACAAACTCAACATATTGACACCTACCAAGCTTTTTCTCTGTTCGCCACACATGCTGCAAAACCAGAAACCCAGGAGTCATTCTAGATCCCTCTCTCTTTCTCAATCTATCTCATAATGAAAAATACAGCCTGCTATTATATTCTGAATATCTCTGGAAGCTGTGCTCTCCACTCCATTCCCACTGCACTGGAGTTCAAGATTCAAGCCTCCAACAACATCCTTTGTCAGTCCTCTAGCCCCAATGCTTGGTCCCCATCCCCATTCATTTCAAACACAAATCTAATCTAACTTTTCCTCTGTTGAGCACCATGCTCTGGTTCCTCCCATGTATAAAATCCAAATATTTTGGTACTCTAGACCCTGCTGACTGGCCCGCTTTTGCCATTCTTCCCTGTGAATCCGCCCTCAATCAAGATGGCAACTCTGTCCCACCACATGCTCATACAAACCTAATCCTTTGCCTGCTGTACTTTTTTCCTGACAAGTATCACTCTCTGGAATTGTCTTACTTGTTTATACATTAATCATTTCCAGTCTTTGTCAACTAGCATGCAAGCCCTGTCAGGGCAGGGATCTTGATTATTAACATTCCTGCATGTATCCCAGCACCTCGGTCAGGGTTAGGCCACAGTAAGTGGTCAAGGATTTGCTGAATTAATGGTATAAAAGTTTGTTTTTTTCCCCACTCAGTGTTATGACATAAACATTTCCCATACTGGCAAACAGTCATCGTTATGCAGGTGCAGGGGCTCACGCCTGTAATTCCAGCTACTGGGGAGGCGGAGACAGGAGGATTGCTTGAGCCTAGGAGTTTGAGTCCAATCTCGGATACATAGGAAGATCCCCATCTCTAAGACGAAACAGAGATTCTAGAAAAAGGTCATCATTATGATTTTACTGGTTATGTGATGTTGTACTAAGATAATGTACCATAATTTACTTAAGTATTCCTCTGCTGTTGGTCATCTAAATTACTACAGGCTTTGAAATAGTACCTGACACAAAGCAGTCACAAAGCCAAAACAATTTTTCTTTTGAATTTTTTTTTTTTTTGAGACAGAGTCTCACTCTTTTGCCCGGGCTAGAGTGAGTACCGTGGCATCAGCCCAGCTCACAGCAACCTCAAACTCCTGGGCTCAAGTGATCCTCCTGCCTCAGCCTCCCAAGTAGCTGGGACTACAGGCATGCACCACCATGCCCAGCTAATTTTTTCTATATATTTTTAGTTGGCCGATTAATTTCTTTCTATTTTTAGTAGAGACGGGGTCTTGCTCTTGCTCAGGCTGGTTTCCAACTCCTGAGCTCAAGCAATCCGCCCGCCTCGGCCTCCCAGAGTGCTAGAATTACAGGCGTGAGCCACCGCGCCCGGCCTGAATTTTTTTTTTTGATAAATTCCTTAGAGCGAAATTACTAAGTCAAAGTGAAAAATAACTGTTTTAATTCAAGTCAAAAGAACTAGTATTCTACCACATGAAGATTCTCTCTGGAATAATCAGATAAGAATTTTAGAAATAGATGTTTATATAATTTGGCACCTACTATATGCCAGGATTTTTTCTAAGCCTTTGTGATATATCGGTGACCAAAACGATGGTCTCTGTTTTCATGGAGGTTACATTCTAGCGTGGGGAAAAGGGATACACAATGAACACAGTACATGAGTAAATTATCTAGTATGTCAGGGGGCAATACCCACTATGGTAAAAAGAAAAAGTAGAGCAGACTAAGGAGTGCCAGCAAGGGACGGATCTGCAATTTTAGACTTCAGTGAGAAAGTGACTTGTGAGCTTACACTGGGAGGCACTGTGTTCCAGGGAGAGGGACCAACCAGTGGAAAGACCACCAAGGAAAGAGGGGAAAGGGGACACTAGCACTATCTGTAGGTCACTAAAACCTAAAGACATCAGCTTTATCAAGATATAATTCACATAGATACAATCAACCCATTTACAGTGTACAATTCAATGATATTCAGAGTTGTAAAACCATTCCCTCAATCAACTTTAGAACATTTTCATCATCTGAAGG